GTATACTAATAGATGAACTGTCACAGTCTACCTGGCTGGTTTCCTTAATTTTGTCTTATTTCCTATGACAGCTGCCCCCTCCTGATAATAATGCCGTTTTCTTTTCAGAACACAGAAAGGACCTCGTAGTTTTCCTGCTAAAAATCTTTCATGGCTCCACACAGTGAAATGAGTTAATTTCTTAATGGCCTCCAGCCTCGATTGCCAGACTCAGCTTTTCCTAGTCTCATCCTTGTTAACATCGGTGAGAAACTACTAGATGCCTATTCCTTGGCTAATGCTTAGGATAGTTCTCCAATAATCATTTTGACCTTTCGAAGTTCAGGTCAGAGGACATCTACCCCGTAAAGACCTTACTTGATGCCCCCAGTTGGAATGAAATGTACTTCCTCTATATTTCCCATACACTTTATTTTACTTACAGCACTAAGCATTTTATTAAGATCATTTGCACATGTGTCTATTTCCTCTCTAAGACTAGAGTTTCTTTTATTTTATTTAAAAATAAAAAGACTAGTTTCTTTCAGGATGGGGACTATACGTTCATCATGAAACTGTGTTTGTCCATATTGCACTGGTCTGATGGAGTGTGGTCCACGAGAATGAATGGAGTACAAGTGAGCGCCGACTCTGGCTGCCCGGTGATGGCCCCCTGTCCCTGGACTATGAAGTGGACCCCTAGGCCGACTGGGATACCTGGCTCCATATTCTCGTCAATATGGAGTTGCCCAAGGTTCTGAAATTGCTTCGTGTGCCTCTGGTCACTGTCTAAACCCATGGAGACTATGAACTCATTTCCTTTTCCCACTTTGAAGTGGTGAAATTAAAATAGCAGAAGAACACAGAAGGAGAGCCTACATATAATGATGTGCTAGACAATGAGATCCGGCTTCTATTCTACCCTGGTGATCTGAGCCAGTGTGGCTGGAAACTCTCTTCCCAGAGCTTGTATTTTGCTCCTCTGGGGGTTGTAACCTTTGAAAAAGAAATTCTTTTAAAGGCAGTTCTGTTATGGAGTATGTGTAAGGTGACCTGATTTAAAGTGTGACACCATTGACCAGGGGTGGTTGGGGGTGGGAGTGGGAGGACGGGGTTCTTGATTAAAATTTTGGTCTATATGTACCAAATAGACCATTCCCTAGCTTGTCATGCATTCTTTCCAAAACCTGGGACATTTTTAAAACACCAAAAATCGGGACTGTCCCGCCAAAAGCGGGACATCTGGTCACCTTAAGTATGTGTTAATCTGGGTACTTTGGAGAAATAAATCCATAGAAACTCATGTGTAAGAGAGAGTTTTATAAAAAGGTTAAGTGCACATAAAGAAAACATCCCAACCCAGTGCTGCCCAAGCCCACAAGTCCAACATTAACCCATTATGTCCGACACCAATCCACAAGTCCTCCTGTATCTCACAAAACACACACTATGATGCCGACCGCAGGAGGAAAGCTGAGTCAGTGAATGTGTAAGCATCTCAGCACTGGCAGGGGTCTCCACACGGCTGCTCCAGCACCCAGGGCTGCATTGGGATAGGTCCATGTGGCTTCTCCTTGGGGATGTGTTGCAGGAAGTGAGCCTTGCCAGCTGGAACAGGGAACTGGCTAAGGCAGCTGCACCCTGGTCCAACCATCACAAAGCTAGAGGCCCGAGAACTAGAAAGGTGAGGTTCACCGAGTCATTTATCCCTCCGCCCTTCAATTAACCCCACATGTGTGTATCGGAAAATGGTCTTGTTTGCATTGTGACTTGGCTGCAAGATTCATCAAATTTACACAAAACTAGCAGCAACATAGCAGGTTTAGCTAGCTCCTAAGGACAGTTTATGGTCTATGGAAGCACTTCTCTTCAAAGGTCATCTGAACACAAAGGGAAAAAAATGTAGCGCTATTGTAAAGTGCCCCAAATTAGAAAATAGAGGCTCCAAGAATAAAGTTAAATGGAAGCGTGGGCCAGCCAGTCTCTGCTCAGCAGTTAGTTCCCTTTACTGTACTCTCCCCTTCTCAACCTTCACCACAGTCAACATACTTTTCTTTCCCTAGCTCAGGCCTCTCATGTTACAGACGCGAAACAAGCCCTGGAGAACTGGTAGGATTGGGACAGCAAGTGATGAAGGTCCACCTGACCCCAGCTGCGGTCTTTTCAATTGCTTCACGTGCATGTGAAGTTCGAGGCCGACGAAGGAAGCATGGCGGAAGAAGGGAAGCATCTGAACTATGGTGCTGGGGAAGAATCTCGAAAGTTCCGTGGACTGCCAAAAGAGCAGACAAATCTGTCTTTGACTAAGTATGGCCAGAATGTTCCCTGAGAGGCCAGGATGCTGACACTTTGTCTCACTTACTTAGGAGATTTTATTGCTCAAGGCCAGTCCCTGGAGAAATACATCATAGTTGGTAAAGTAGAAGGGTAGCAAAATAGAAGGAGCTCTTCCACAAGATGGACTGACGCAGCGGCTGCAGCAAGGGATTCAAATTAAGAACAATTCTGCAAATGGTGTAGGATCAGGCAGTGTTGCTTCTCTGTTGTACGTGGGCTTGCTATAAGTCAGAACTGACTTGGTGGCCCCTAACTAACATAGGAACCCCGCCTCCAACTGCTACCCTGATTTAGCCACATCTTTACTAAGCTATGTTCCTTCATAAGCCCAGACTACCTCCTATCCTTCTTGGTCTACAGAATACTAAGCTACTCATTCTTCAGAGTGAAACTCAACTTCCCCTTCTACAAAGCCTTCCCTAACTCTCCTTCCTGGTAGCTCCCAACAAAGACGGTCATTTCCTCTACTTCGGGATGATGCATCTCCTATGAACAGAGTACAGTGCACTGAGTGATTTGTGTTGACCTGCATGGTCAAACTGTGACATGCAGCACCTCCTTGCCTCCCCTAGAGTCCAAGTTTGAGTCCCTTACGAAACAGATTCTGAAACAAGGTTTGCACCCAAGCTCTTTGTGGACAGTCATTAGGATACACCCTGTGGGAAAGTGCAAGGAGAAGAGAGAGAGAAAGGAGTTGAACTGTGCTATAGTTGCAACAAAACCCACAGCGATTCCAATGGAAACCTCTGGAAGTTGGGGTGACTGTAGAGTTGTCCCTGGGTAGTAGCGCATTTCTACTTCCTGCATCCACCAGTTCATGTGGTGACTTTCAGCATTCTTAGGTGCCAGGCAACAAAAAGAGGAGGCCAGGCACAGCTTTGGG